AATAATCATGTTTGCTTTACTGAAATTTTGTCAACGATTATAGCGAGATTTCTCCGATTTTTATATACGTAAATTTTCACTTACTCAATCAAACTTGGATTTCCTATGTAATGAAATTTAGTGGGCTTAATTAAAAATTGACACCCTTTAATTATTCCTATAAAGAGTCAGGCAGACACTGAAACAAAAGGCTCATATTCAAACACAATACAAGTGAACACTAAAAAGGATATGGTACTCTCTTCAAATTTCTACATCTTCCTTGGTCTCCTTTTATTTGCATCAGGTGACAAGTGACAAGCACATATACAGTTTTATTTTTTCATGTTTAAACTATTATGAATATCATTTATGTTTCAAAACATTAATAAAGAAAAAATACTTCATATACTTGAGTGAACATATGATCAAATTAAATGGGTTCCAAAAAATATGAATTCATTTTGCATGAATTAATTTTTGAATGACAAAATCGTGCTTTGAAATAGAGAAATACATGGTAAAATAATTATTTTACTTCGTTGGTTTAAATTTATTTGTTCTTGTTGCACTTTGGTTATTCTTGATTAAAGAATTCATGATCAGGAGTATTTTTATTAATATAATTAATAATATTATTTTCTATTAAGAACTGCATGACTAACATTTTATAATTTCTTGTTTACATTTTACAAAGATCAAAACAATTGAAAAATTAGCATTGACTTGTATAATTTTCTAAACATGCTAGATTGTTGCTAACTCTGAAAATTAATACAGTTCATGAGACGATGGTCTCAGGAGCATCTACATGCACGACTTTATTACCGGGCATATGTGAGAGATCCCAATGTTTTAAGAAGTGCGTTGCAGCTTTTAAAGGCCCAACAAAAGCGTCGTGTAGCCCAAGCGGTGATTTAATACCACCTCAGTGTGTGTGTGTCCATGACTGTCCAGGCCCATCAACATTGGATAGAGCCCAATAAACCCACCATAAAGCCCATAAATTCGTATGTAACTCCATACTCTCGTTTGGTCATTCAACATGAAGTAAGTGGATTTATTCTATTGGACGTGAATAGAGTTATGACCTAAACATGAAGTATCAAGTTTGAACTTTTGATACTAAAATTTACGATTTGTATTCTATTGCACGGTTCATTAACTCCGCGAGCCAATAAATGAACTCGAGCCCCACTCATTTTATTAATATTGACCAGCTAAACTCCAGATTTATTGAGTCAGTAAATGAACTCAAGCTCCACTCATTTATTAAAATTAACAAACTAAACTCTATCAACAACCCGAACCTATGTCCATGAATATCCAAGCCCCTCGATATAGGATGGAGCCCAATAAGCCCACAACAAAAGCCCAATAACGCGTCTCTCTTTTCATAATTTCATAGTCACGAGAAATGTCATGGGACTTATTATTTACAATCACAAGAATTACTAAACCTCTAAAACAAGAGTGGCACATCAGAATAAACACAAGAAATCATAAAATCACCAAGTAACAAATTCAATAATCTTCCTTCTTCATTATCCACATGTTCAACTAATCTCTCAATCAAATTCCCATTTATCTTGGACCAGAAAGCTCCATGCAATGTGCATCATCGTCATCATCATCATCTGTAGTCATCGTCATCCCAAACATGCTCGACGGATCATGACCAATGCCAACAGCAATTTCCGAGTGCGAGTCGCTATTGTTGCGCGAGAAACTCGAAGCCACATGAATGTAGTTATGGGTCATGGCCCATTTCTCAGCAAGCCCATCTCCCTCAAGCATCCGGACCACATCCGACATTTTGGGCCGGTTGGCCGGTAGGTATTGAGTACATAACAAAGCTACTTGCACCATTTCCCCTACTTCGATTTTGTCGTAGTTGACCCCAAGCTGCGGGTCAACAAGCAGCTCGATTTTTTGCTCTTGCTGTATCTTCTTGACCTGCAAACCAAAACAGCTCACTTTTGAACCCCTTTTTCATGACTA